TTATTATGCAAACTATTTAATTTTATGTTTACTCATTGTATTTACCCAGATAGTTGGACTAAAGGTGTAATTGTTCCTGTCCCCAAAAAAGGTAACCTTAATAATGTCAATAATTATAGAGGAATAACATTAAGTAGTATTTTTTCAAAAATCTTTTCAACTTTATTAGATTTAAGACTCCGAAAATGGGCCGAGGACAATAATATGTTAAGTGATTTTCAATTTGGATTTCGAAAAGATAAAAGTACCATTGACTGTATTTTTGTTTTAACTTCAATCATAGATAAAGTTATTTCGCATGATAAAAAGAAGCTATATTTAGCATTTGTCGATTTCAGAAAAGCCTTTGATGTAGTTTACAGGAACGGAATCTGGTTTAAATTATTATCTTACGGAGCTTCCACAAAGTTTGTCAATATGTTACAGAAAATATATGAAAGTGTTAAATCTTGTGTACGTGTAAATGGACAGCTAAGTGATAATTTTGAGAGCTTTAAGGGCGTTAAACAAGGCGAACCATTATCCCCTCTGTTGTTTTTATTTTTTATAAATGATATGTATCAATATTTATATGACGACTCTATTGACTCGTTCACTATGGACGAATTACATCTCTTTTTACTTCTTTTTGCGGATGATACGGTGTTAATATCTTATTCCAAAGAAGGGTTACAAAACCTTCTAAATAATTTACATTCTTATTGTTGCAATTGGGGTATCAGTGTTAATATTGATAAAACCGTAGTGATGATATGTAAGAAAGGTAATAGACCTGAAAATATTGATATATTTTATGATAATCATAGACTTAAAATTGTTACTAAATTTACTTATTTAGGTGTTACTCTGTCTGCTAATGGAAGTTTTTTTCCAGGCACAAAAGTCATTGTCTGGACAAGCTATGAAAGCTCTGTTTTCGCTTACTTCACTATTTGAAACTGTATCACTAGACATTAAAGACAAAATTAAGTTATTTGATTCCATGATCACTTCGATTCTGAATTATGGATGTGAAATTTGGGGTTTACATAAGGCACCCGATATAGAAAAAATTCATTTAAAGTTTTTAAAAAGCGTTTTAATAGTTCGTCAACAGACTGCCAGTTCTACGATTTACGGTGAATTTGGACGAGTTCCGATGATTATATGTCGTAAAATCAGAATGATAAAATATTGGTTCAGAATTATGAAAACCCCGAATTCTTTAGTTTTTAAAGTATTTAATATGCGTGATGATCATGGAATATTAGTTAACAATTGGTCTGTAAGTGTTAAACAATTATTAGATAATTTAGGATACTCTTATTTATGGGATAATACAGAAATCACTAACTTACAAATTCAAACAGTAATAAGAACTATTTATGACCAATATCTACAGCAATGGTTTTCAGAGCTCAAAGAATCTCCTAAACTTGATACTTACTGTTTATTTAAATCCAGTTTTGAATTAGAAAAATATTTAAGTTGTGTAAAATATGATAGCTATAGAATTGCTTTGTCTAGATTCCGGTGTTCTGCTCATAATTTAGCTATAGAAGAAGGGAGATATAGAAACATTAATAGAAGTCAAAGAATATGCACGAAATGTAATATGAATAGTATAGAAAATGAGTATCATTTCCTCTTAGTATGTCCTTTTTACAGACAGATTAGACTTAATATTTTACCTAATTATTATTGTCATTGGCCAAATTTGTTTAAATTCAAATCTCTTTTAAATTGTCAACAAAGTAATACTATTAATAAACTTGCAAAATACGTTTACAATGCTAATCTTTGGCGCGATAACTATCAGGCATGATATGACTGTGTAATGTGGATTTATTTTATGTATGTTATAGATCATATATAGTATATCTTTGTTTTGTTATTGTAAGAATTCGACTGATTTAATTAATATGAATTCATGCTTTTCTCTTTGTATTTGTACCGCCATTGTATATATGTTATATTGGCGATGAACATTTATATGTTTTTGCCGAATAAAATATTGAATTGAATTGAAATTAAAACGAAACACAAATTATAACACCACATAAAAAGTATGTTTTGTCCCAATAATGAGACCTGTAAGCTGATATTTTCATGTATACACCGTTATTTAATCGTGGTGGTGGTATCACGTGGTGGTGGTGTCAAGTGGTGGTGGTGTCACGTGGTGGTGGTGTCACGTGGTGGTGACATGCGGTGACACATGGTGGTGACATGTGGTAACACGTGGTGTCATGTGGTTGTGTCACGTAGTGGTGGTGTCACGTGGTGACACGAGGTGTCACGTGTTGGTGACACGTGGGAACTCGTGGTGGTGACATGTGGTAACAGGTGGTGGTGGCATGTGGTGGCACGTGGTGGTGTCACGTGGTGGTGACACGTGGTTGTGGTGACATGTGGTGGTGGTGACACGTGGTGGTGGTGACATGTGGTGGTGGTGACACGTGTTGTTGTTGATAGAGGATTATAAACATTTACTTATACAATTGTTCAATTAACATTAGCTTAGTCATTTATCTTTAATATGTTTTATGTTCATTTCAGATTGACCGTGGTCATTGTTCATCATAATAAAGACATATGAATAAATGGACCTTGTTCTTATTTATGACCACGGCCAGAGATTCAAAATACCAGTACATTTGTGAAAGACATTTTTCTAAGAACAGATCAAAATGCCAGCATTAGGATGTCCAATACCAGGCTGTGATTATGTCACGGACGACCTTGAGGCCGCCATCGTTGCCGCACTCATAACCGCTCACTGTACCACACACGCTCCTGGACAGACTGCCAAAGTAGAAAAAGTTAGAAGACCCACACTAGCAACAGCAGGAACAAGTGAAGAATGGGCATATTTCCAATCTCGATGGTCTGACTATGTAGATGCCACTAAAATCAAAGGCCGTGATTGCGTGGTACAGCTTTTAGAATGCTGTGACGAACAACTTCGGAAAGACTTAACACGATCAGCTGGCGGCAGTCTTACTAACAAGTCTGAGTTTCCCTGCACAACATGCGTCAAGATCGTGATGAGCCTGTACGCCGTTTCTGTGCACGACTTAGAGGACAGGCTAGTGTCTGCAAATTCCTGATAAAGTGTCCAACATGCAACGCTGATGTTAATTATACTGACACAATAGTCAGAGACGTATTGGCACGCGGCATATGTGACCCGGAAATACAATTAGATCTCCTTGGTGATAAGAATCAGGATATGTCATTAGAAGAAGTAGCACAATTTGTCGAAGCTAAAGAGTCTGGAAAACGATCTGCCTCCCGACTATTAGACTCTCATGAGGTCCAAGCAGCAGCCAGTAGTTCATATAGAAAGGCGAAACAAACCGCTGTAAAAGATAAAAACGAAACTTGCTCATACTGTGGCAAGAAAGGACATGGTAAAAACGCTCCTGCCCGTGCAAGAAAATCAGAATGTCCAGCTTACGGGCAAAGATGTGAACACTGTAATCGTGAAAACCACTTTGAGAGTGTTTGTCGAAGTAGGGACAAACCGAAAGCGAAATCTAGTGCTTACAATGCCAATGACTATGAGAATGCTGTGTTCAACACCTTGTGCAGTGTATCATCAATGTCTAAAAAACACATTGACAAGACATTAGCTTTAGACCACCACCTATATGACAACTTATCTGATACTTGGATAAAGAAACCTTCCAAATCGCAACCATTCATTACTCTTACAATCAGAGCATTACCCGAGGACTATGAAGCCTTTGGTTTTAACCTAAATGCTGGAACACACGCTGTTCGTATTCCTGCCATGGCAGACACTGGATGTCAAAGCTGTCTTGCTGGTATCAAAGTCATCCACAAACTTGGCCTCAAGCAAAGCGATCTCATTCCTGTATCTTTGAAAATGCACGCTGCAAATAACAGGGGCATTAAAATCCTCGGTGCCACAATCTTTCGGATCTCAGGAACAGATGAGCAAGGGAACCTTCTAGAGACTAGGCAAATGACATATGTGACTGATAATTCCGATAAGCTCTTCATCAGTAGGGAAGCATGCATTGCTCTTGGCATGATATCTGGAAGTTTTCCGACAATTGGTGAAATCTGCGACACACAATCCGAAGCAATGTATCAAACTCAGGATACAAACAATAGTGAAGTCGGAAGCATAAGCGGACTAGTGAATCAATGTGACTGTCCGAAACGTCAACTACCACCTCCGCCACCTACAAGGTTACCATACAGTGGAAGTGAGTCCAACCGCCTTAAACTAAAGGCATACCTCTTGGAGTACTACAAATCAAGTACATTCAATGTCTGTGACCACCAACCATTACCGCTAATGGATGGACCGCCAATGAAGTTGATGATCAATCCAAATGCTGAACCTGTCGCTCATCATACACCAGTGCCAGTACCATTACATTGGCAAGAGGAAGTTAAAGCTGGACTCGACCAAGACATCCGCCTTGGTGTCCTTGAACCAGTCCCTATTGGGGAACCAGTGACTTGGTGCCATCGGATGGTTGTATGTGCCAAGAAAAATGGCACACCTCGACGAACAGTTGATTTTCAGCCTCTCAATGTACACGCTAAGAGAGAAACGCATCACACTCCTTCGCCATTTCACCAAGCAAGGTCAGTCCCACAAGGGAAAAAGAAAACCGTCTTTGATGCCTGGAACGGGTACCATAGTGTGCCGATTCAAGAATCTGACCGTCACTTAACTACGTTCATCACTCCTTGGGGACGCTATCGCTATAAAACAGCCCCTCAAGGATACATTGCTTCTGGCGACGGATATACTCGACGATATGATGAAATAGTTGCCGAAATACCCAACAAAACTAAATGTATCGATGATGTCCTTCTCTGGTCTGATTCAATAGATGAGAGTTTCTTCCAAGCTGTCCAATGGCTTGACATATGTGGAAGACATGGCATCACACTCAACCCTGAAAAGTTTTGAATTTGCTGGGTTTGCAATAACCCCCGACACAGTTCGCCCTTGTACAAGATATCTTAGCGCAATTATGGACTTCCCAACTCCGAGAAATATCACCGATGTCAGATCTTGGTTCGGTTTAGTAAACCAAGTATCGTATGCTTTCAGCATGACAGACAAAATGCTACCATTCCGAGAGTTATTGAAACCAGGTACACCGTTCATCTGGGATGTCAATATTAATGCACTCTTCGAGGAATCTAAAACTGCCATTATCAATGAAATTGAAGAAGGCGTGCGAATCTTTGACAAGACAAAACCTACATGTCTCGCCACTGATTGGTCGAAGTCAGGAATCGGGTTCTGGCTGTTCCAGAAACATTGCAACTGTCCGGACAACCAGCCATTTTGTTGTCGCACCGGTTGGAAGGTAACACTTGTCGGGAGTAGGTTCACGCATGCAGCTGAGTCTCGATATGCACCAGTGGAAGGTGAAGCGTTGGCAGTTGTCGATGCTCTTGATAAAGCAAGATACTTTGTTCTTGGGTGTGACGATCTTGTAATAGCAGTTGACCATAAACCCCTGTTAAAAATATTTGGTGACAGATCATTGGAGGACATTTCTAACTCACGTCTCAGAAACTTGAAAGAAAAGTCCCTCCGCTATCGATTCCGCATGATTCATATTCCAGGGGTCAAGCATCTCGCTGCAGATGGAGTATCACGTCATCCAACCGGAAAATCTGAAAAGCTATCGCTTCAAGATGATATTGCATCAATTAACAATGTACCTTCTCTGAGACATGTTCTCCTACCTACATTGCCATCAACATATTCTATTCTCAATGACAATGATGTGGATACCTGTATCTCCGCTTCAGCCGTATGCTTACTTGACTCACTTGCCGTGAAAGCAGTCACCTGGGACAGAGTTCGCACTGCCACAAGTAGTGACGATAACATGCATGAACTCCTCAACCTTATAGAATGCGGAGTACCTGAGTCTCGCAAAGAATTTCCTGCACATCTTCGTGAGTATTTTCAATTCCGTGAGCATCTCTACACAGTAGATGGTGTAATACTATACAAGGATCGTGTAGTTATTCCTCCAGCTCTCAGACAAGAAGTTCTTGCAGCTCTTCATTCAGCACATCAAGGAATTACCTCCATGGTATCGCGAGCAGAGTCCTCCGTGTTTTGGCCAGGGATCACACCTGCTATAACAACCCTTAGAGCTGGATGCAATCACTGCAATCGTATCGCACCTTCGAATCCTAGTGCTCCGCCTACACCCCTAATATCTCCAGACTACCCATTCCAATGTGTTTGTGCAGATTATTTTCACCATCAAGGTGTTGGATATTTAGTTATAGTTGATCGATACTCGAACTGGCCCATAGTTGAACGATCTTCGAATGGTGCAGAGGGCCTTATTACTTCACTACGCCGAACATTTGTGACATTTGGGATTCCGGATGAATTGACATCTGATGGCGGACCTGAATTTACGGCAACAACAACCAGACAATTCTTAAAAGATTGGGGAGTCCATCACCGCCTTTCCTCTGTGGCTTTCCCACACAGTAATTGCAGAGCTGAAATAGGTGTCAAAACTGTCAAGCGTCTAATAGCCGACAACACAGGTAGAAACGGGGATCTCAACACCGATGCATTTCAACGTGCGATGCTCCAGTACAGGAACACACCTGACAGAGACACCAAGTTATCTCCTGCTACATGTGTATTTGGTCATCCCATCAGAGACTTCATTCCTGTTCCGCCCGGCAGGTACCGTCCCCATAACACATGGAAGGAAACACTTGATGCAAGAGAGGAAGCTTTAAGACATCGCCACCTTAAACAGGGAGAGCGCTTATCGGAGCACACTAAAAGACTACTCCCACTCTCTGTAGGCGATAGGGTTCGCATCCAAAATCAAACAGGACATCACCCTCTTAAATGGGATAAAACTGGCGTTATCATAGAAGTTCGCCAATTCGACCAATACGTCGTTAGAGTTGATGGCTCTGGTAGGGTCACACTAAGAAACCGAAAATTTTTGAGACAATATGTGCCTGTCAGAAGTTTGCCAGAAGTCCGTACAATTAAGGATGATGAAACTTGGAATCAGTTTGTACCTCTTGTCAGCCCTCAGACAACTAAAGCGTCTGAGACCATTGTGAAACACAACCAGGACACTATTCCAACAACGCAAAATCCGAACACATATTGTACCCTCCCATCAACCACTTTACCTTCACCAAGTGGTCACACCCATAACACTCATTTGGATGTTGATGCCCCGGAATGCCTTCCAGCTGATCTCGGCAACACCAAAAATCATCCAGCTGAGATCCCACCTCCCAGTGATAGCACAAACTCTCCATCACAGGTCACCTCCATGCCAAATTTGGAGCAACGCAAATCTAGTCGTACCCGTCAACCACCAATATGGCACCGTGATTTCGAGATGAACTAGTGTTATCATTACCTATATAAAATTATGAACATACGTTTAATTGTTTTTGAAGTTTCCGTTTTTCAAATGCTAACAGGAGTTTAGTGTTCATGGACCTATAATTTCGGATGTTAATTTGTTATCAAATGTTTTGACTTCAGTTTTAAACCGACCTATGCATGAAAGACATATTAAAAGGCCGTTTAAAAACTTAGGGGGAGATAGAGGATTATAAACATTTACTTATACAATTGTTCAATTAACATTAGCTTAGTCATTTATCTTTAATATGTTTTATGTTCATTTCAGATTGACCGTGGTCATTGTTCATCACAATAAAGACATATGAATAAATGGACCTTGTTCTTATTTAGTTGATGATGATATAAACATTATATATATATACATTGTATATAGTAAAATCGGCACGCCGCAGCCGGGACTCAAACCACGGGTCTCTGGATTGCCGGTCCAGTATGCTAACCACTACACCAATGGCCGTTGCTTTTTCTTCGTGCTAATTGGCCTTATATATTAAAGTTATTTTTAACTTTATTTGACGTCATCACTTTTATTACCATAGCGGCGAGCTATTTATAGCTTCTTTTACCGCAGTTCGCTGACTCAGTCACTATTATTAATTTTCTTATGGCAAACACATTTATTGTTTTATAAGACCATTCCCGCCCATATATATACACACACACACACACACACACACACACACACACACACACACACACACACACACACACACACACACACACACACACACACACACACACACACACCAATAAATATGTATGGTCATTTAATGCACAAATCTGAGAAAATTCAGTAATTTAACCTTCAAGGTCAGGGTCATTAAAGAGCCCAAGTGTTTGATAAACAACAAGGTCTTGTCTTTAAGTATGTTCTGTTATAATATGAAGTTGATCCCTTCAATAATAGCAAAGTTACAGCCAGTTACAGCCAAAACAATGAAAATTTCAATAATTTGAACTTCAAAGTCAAGGTCATTAATGAGTGAAGGTCAAGGTCTGTCTGCTTATTTTTAAGGGTTATCCTTGAAGATTATCATGTTCAAGTTTAAAGACAATCCATTCAAAAATAACAAAGTTACAGCCAATAACAGCATGAACAAGCAAAATTTGGACTTTTAACCTTGAAGGTCAAGGTCATTTATGGATGAAGGTCAATGTTAGTGTGGTCTACTGAAAGGTCTTGTCCCAAGGGTTGTTGTGGCCAAGTATGAAGACAATACACCAAGAAATAAAAAAGTTATGATCCAGGTACAAGTTTGCGGACGGCAAGGCCGCCGCGACTATAGCAATACCTCTACTTATTTTTTTTTTTTTTCAAAAAAAAAAGTCGAGCTAATAAAAATTAGGATACGCCTGCACAAAATCTGTTACTTGTCTGTGAAGTCGAATAGGAGTTGGGTGAAAGTATACGCTGTTCCTCCATAAAAATGTTTCTGTCAGACTTCTCCATTCTGCATCCTCATCCTCTGTACTGGAATAAATCGTTTCTATAGCACATATCTTTGCAACAAAATATTTAATAATCAAGTTAACAAAATGTATAACATCTTAATATAAGGAATTTATACGCTACAATTAACAGCCAATGAAAACTGAACCAAAGAACTCTTTGATTATGACAGACAATAATGTTTAGCCTAATATTCACCAATGATTTCACCAGTATATTACAGATACTCTAGAAACGTACTATATTGTCAAATGAAAGTTAAACAAACTATGCAATTTTAAACAAAAATACGGGAGTGTTGACATAATGGTCCAGATGTCCGTCTCTCAACCAAGGCATAGTGTGCTCAAGCCCGTCAATGTTGAACACAGATTCTTTGTGAATAATTTATTAATAAGTTGATTACTAAAATGAGTCCTATATTTGACAATTTATCAATCACCAGTGCAACGAGGCACGTGGAACCATTTGATAACATAATCAAAGCATTGTGCAATGGTTGGGCGTACACATGGCATTGCAATGAATTCGAAATTACAAATTATAAGGCTTTATTATAAAATAAACGTTTTTAATATACTTACAATTGTTACCACAGCAGATTTTTCATCAAAATGGCGGGCGTACCTGTGTGTACATTCGGAAAAGTTCGTAAATGATCCATACATATACTTAGACTGTCAATAAGCAGTACGCAGTAAGCAGAAAGCAGCAGGCTGTCCAGTTAGCAGTAGGCAGTGAGCAGTAGGCTGTCGTTTATGGAATTCCGTATTCCGTAGATGGGCCTTAGAAGGTGACTTTCCAATATGATCCTAAAGATAAGTTCAAAGTGAATATCTTCAGTATTTTCAAAGATTAATGTTGCATGTAAAAGTAAGTTGTTAAGTTTAAAAAAAATAATAATATTTTCTGATTGGTTAATTAAAAAAAAATTATCTTGTGGCTACGACTTATCTATCTCGTGGCCATGACTAACTAACTCGTGACCACGACTTAGCTATCTCGTGGCCACGATTTTTTGTAACTCGTGGCCACGACATAGTATCTCTTGGCCACGACTTATCTATCTCGTGGCCACGACTTAGTAACTCATGGTCGCGACATAGTATCTCGTGGCTACGACTTAGCTATCTTGTGGCAACAACTTAGTAACTCGTGGCCACGAGATAAATAAAGATACATGCCACCGAAGCTTTGTCATGCATTGAAGAGTTTTAAAATAACTTGGCACAAATGTCTGTCACATCAAGGCGACGTGTTGTGAGTAAGACCCATATTTCTTCCTCCGAGGTCAAGGTCACTAATAGTTTGAAGATACTTATACTCATAAGAAAAGTTTAAAGGTACACATTAAATGCCTAAATTACAGTTTTTCCTCCAGGAACAAGCAGTGTTATTACATGAAACTACTATATAATGGTCCACAATAAAGGAACATGTCAAATATTTGGAAAAGAACTACTTATTGGTGTTGAAGATATCACAAGTTGTTTTATTTGTAATCTACATTACCAACATTGGTATCACATTTGTTACACCTTTATAAAATCTTAGATGATCTGGTATAACACAGATAACATACATGTATCTGTGTAGATATCTGTTATGATAAAAATTTATAAGCAAAATCTTTGGTAAGCAAAAATAGAGACCAAAATAGAAAAGGATTTGTTACAAACATAGTGGGCCATGAAACTAATATTTGCAATAAATGTTTGAATAATAAGTGTCATTGGAATTAAAGTTTTATAATTCAATTATAATCTTAAAACTATAATTAAAACATTTTATCACTTACCTTGGTTTGCTTTCCTGAAGATAACTGGAACTCAGTAATATAGCCTTTCTGCGCGGAAATTGCAAATGCAAATGGTGGAATAAGTGTCAAGTTTGAAATAAAGGGAAACAAACTATGTGTATATTGATCTAGAAGTTTATATTACGAAACCTTGAAACAGTTTAACGTGATCTCGGACATGAAAATCAAATTATTTGCAGAAATTGAAAAACCATGGTAACGTTGATTACATCTCGTAGATTACATCTTTATTGTCATGAGCATGAAAGTTTCTACAAACAACTAACTTATACAAAATAAAGATATATTGAATGTTTAACAAGTCTAATCTTATTGAAAATAGTCTATAAAGAGCACCCTTTGCCACAATATTTGAGTAATAGCAGTAACGTAGATTACAGTCTTAAATTTACTTTACAAATATATAGTTTGTGATTCTGGTGTAATGCTTTTTTATGAAATGAGTTAATCATTGTATCGCGTATCGTTTATACTATGTTTTGTTAGTATTTGCATTTGTTTAAACACCTTTTAATGCGTTTATTACCTGTGCATTTTTTGTGTTCAAACTAAGTAACGTAGATTACATTAGATATGGAGACAAGAGAGTTTTGTTTTTTAACGAAAAATGCAAAGTGTTTCTCTCATAATTTATTTTAAATTTCAAACTTCAACATGTCGTGAAACAAAAATTAAAAAAGATATGTTCAGTTTTTAACAAATTGATGCAGCACTTGTGTGTTAAATCATATAACCCTTTACAGAGACAGCGTATTTTTCTTTTAAATTGATATTATTTGTGTGTTTCTTTTACTAAATACCAGTTTCTTACATCTATTGTGTATATGATTTAAAGGTAGGGACCATGTAATGTTAAAAAAATAACAAAACTAAACTGTATTATTGTATATGTTTTAACATTCGTTAAGAGACACTCAAGTTTCAAACTTGGGTCTATCTGGTGAGAATAGGTGATTAGTTTCCAAACTGTAACATTGTCATTCATTGAAGGATTTTAAAATAACTTTTTATCTGAAATGAGAATTTGTCGTTTCCTTTTGTGTATTTCTTTTTCGTCTGATTTGACTAAATTTGTTTCATTACAGCGCGAATTACAATAGTAAAATTTCCAGTATTGTCGATCGCCATACCATTTACTTCTTCCTTACATAACCGCAATGTGTCTAATAATCTAAAGTCCTCACTTGAGAATTCTGAGATATACGTCTCTCGACAATTACCGGAGATATATATTCTTGAACGATCATCATCACATACAACATATTGCGGATATGCGACATCAACTACAACCGATAAGAGAATTGCACCATCTGATTCGTATTGCTGTAATTTAGCTGTACCATTCTTTTCAACGACAATAACTAACAGTTTGTCTTTACTCTTTGTTATCCCGTAGTATTTGCCTGTACATGTTATGCTTTGTTCGAGTGAAAATTTTGAACTTTTGTCGATTGTTAACAATTCAATTATTTGCTTTTCTGGGACAGTAACAGCTACTTTATTGCTGGACACACAGGTGACATCCCATGGTGGTGATTTAACCTTCAATTTTGATATAACCTTATCTTCATAGGTATCAACTAGCTTAACAGATGAATTGTTAAAGTCGGTCAGAACAATTTTGCTATCTGCTATCATAATCTTAATCTTACATAATCTTCTTTATTTCTCTCAATACATGTATACATGCAAATATGAGGAATTTACA